CACCCAGACTAGAGTGCAGTGGCACAATCACAGGTCATCACAGCCTCGAACTACTGGTTCTTCTGCCTCAGTCTCCCAAGTAGGTAAAACTACATGTGTATACCACCTTACATGACTAATTTTTAAAACTTTTGTAGAAACAAAGTCTCTGTTGCTCTGGTTGGTCTTGAACTACTGGGCTCAAGCAATCCTCTCGCCTCAACCTTCCAAAATACTGGGATTACAGGCATGCGCTACCGCCGGCTGGGATTATAGGCGCTACCATGCCTGGCCTTTAGCCTTGACAGGAACAAACCAATTATAAATGAAATCTTGAATTCAATCAGGAATATTTGAATATGTGCAGTACAAGTGTTAGATGATATGAAGGAATTATTATTAATTTTGCAGATTACTGTATGCTGACAATATGATCTTATACCTAGAGAATCCTAAAGACTCCTCCAAAAGACTCTTGGACTTGATAAAAGAATTCAGTTAAGTTTCCAATTACAAAAGCAACACACATAAATCAGTAGTACTGCTATACACCAATAGTGAGCAAGCTAAGAATGAAATCAAGATCAAATTCCATTTACAATAGCAGCTAAAATACCTAGGAATATATTTAACCAAGGAAGTGAAAGATCTCTACAAGGAGAATATAAACCTCTGATGAAAGAAATTGTAAGTCAGGCTCAGTGGATCAGCCTGTAATCCCATGCCTTTGGGAGGCTGAGGTGAGTGGACTGCCTGAGCCCGCGGGTTCGAGACCTACCTGGGCAACTTAGTGAGACCTCGTCTCTACAACAAATCAAAAATTTGTCAGGCATGGTAGCGCGCGCCTGTAGTTCCGGCTACTCGGAAAGCTGAGGCAGAAGGATCACTAGAGCCCAGCAGGTCGAGGCTGCGGTGGCCGGGAGCGGCCACTGCACTCCAGTCTGGGCGACAGAGTGAGACTCCAACTCAAAAAAAGAGAAAGAAATTGTAGAGACACAAATAAATGGAGAAACCCCCCCATGCTCATGGGTAGGAAGAATCAACATTGTTAAAATGACCATACTACACAAAGTCTACAGTTTCAATGTAATTCCTATCAAACTACCAACATCATTTTTCACAGAATTAGAAAAAACAATCCCAAAATTCATATGGAACCCAAAAAGAGCCAGAACAGTCAAAGCAATCCTAAGCAAAAAGAACAAAACTGGAGGCATCACGTTACCTGACTTCAAATTATGCTATAAAGCTGTAGTAACCCAAACAGTACGATACTGGTACAAGAGCAGACACATGGACCAATGGAACAGAATAGAGAATCCAGAAATAAACCCTAATATCTACAACCAACTGATCTTTGACAAAGCAGACAAAAAACATGCACTGGGGAAGGGATACCCTATTCAACAAATAATGCGGGAAAAATTGGATATTACATTCAGAAAAATGAAGCTTGATCCTTATATCTCTCCATATACAAAAATTAAATCAAAATGGATGAAAGACTTACATGTCAGACCTGAAGCCATAAAAATCCTAGAAAAATTGATATTAAAAAAAAAAATCCTAGAAAATAACCTAGGAAAAACTCTTCTGTACATTGGCCTAGGCAAAGAATTTATGGCTAAAACCCCAATAGCAAATGCAACAACAACAACAAAAATTAAATAAGTGGGACTTAATTAAACTAAAAATATATTCGCAAACTATACATCTGACAAAGGACTAATATCCAGAATCTACACAGAACTCGAACAAATCAACAAGATAAAATCAAATAACCCCATTAAAAAGTGGGCAAATAACATGAACAGACATCTCTCAAAAGAAGATATACATATAGCCAACAGACAAATAAAAAAATGCTCAATATCACTCATCATCAGGGAAATGCAAATTAAAAGCACAATGAGATACCACCTTACACTAGTGAGAAAGGTCAGTATTAAAAAAATCAAAAAAACAATAGATGCTAGCATGGATGCAGAGAAAAGGGAACACTTATACACTGTTGGTGGGAGTATAAGTTAGTACAACCTCTATGAAAGGCATAATGGAGATTTCTCAAACAACTAAAAATAGATCTACCACTTGATCCAGCAATCCCACTACTAGGTATCTACCCAAAGGAACGGAAGTCGTTCTATAACAAACAAACTTACACCCACATGTTCATCGCAGCACAATTCACAATTGCAAAGATGTGGAATCAAGTCTAAATGCCCATCAACCAATCAGTGAATAATGAAAATGTGATATATATACACACTATAGAATACTATTCAGCTATCAAAAAGAATGAAGCGTCTTTTGCAGCAACTTGGATGAAATTGGAGAACATCATCCTAAGTGAACAAATTCAGGAACAGAAAATCAAACACTGCATGTTCTTACTTATAAGTGGAAGCTAAATGAAGGTTTTGCAAAAACATATGAGGTCCAAACATTAGGTTCGTGAACCATTCTGGAAAAAGTGTTACATATCTCATTGCTGATTATCACTATAGTCACCTTTGAAGTACTCCCCTTGGGAAACTGTGCACCAACGCCAGCACCTAGTTCACCCATCAAAGCAATTTTGGAACTCTTTCTAGAATGGTCATCAGAGCTGTCATCATTATTTGTTGAAGTCTGACAAGTTCACAAAATTGTCACTGTGTGCTTACGTTGGCAGCACTGCACAAATAACTGTATTGGAACACTTGATGTGGCCCTCAGTGACTTTTTTCTTTACCCAAAGATAAAGGAAATATTGAAAGAAAGACATTTGATGACATTCAGGATATCAAGGGTATAAGATGACATTTCCAGAAAAAGAGTTTCAAAATTGCTTTGATGGGTGAACTAGGCACTGGCATAGGTGCATAGCTCCCCAAGGAGTATTTTGAAGGTGACTATAGTGATAGTCAGCAATGAGGTATGCAGCACTCTTTCTAGGATGAGTTCACAAACTTAATTGTTCAGACTCTGTAGAGAATGGTATAATGGACGCTGGAGACTCAAAAGGAGGAGGGGAAAAGGAGGGAGGAACAAAAAATCACCTATTGAGTACAGTGTGCACAGATGGGAGGAGGTATACCCAAAACCCAGACCAAAACAATTTGTAACCCCCAAAACTATTTAAAATTTTTAAAAGTATATTTAAAAATATAAATATTATTTTAAAAATGTTTCCTATTCAGCTTGTCAACATACTGTGTATTATGTTTTTAAAAAAATAATTACCAATAAAAGTTATTTTAATTTAAATTTCCCTGTTAGTGAGGTCAAATGTCTTTTCATGTATTTATTGGCTATCTATGGTTCTCTGAACAACTTTTTTTTTTGAGTTGGAGTCTCACTCTGTCACCCAGACTGGAGTGCAGTGGCCACTCCATGCCATTGCAACCTCGACTTGCTGGGCTCCAGCGATCCTTCCGGCTCAGCCTTTCAAGTAGCTGGAACTACAGGTGCACTCTACCACGCCCGGCTAACTTTTTGATTTGTTGTAGAGATGAGGTCTCACCAAGTTTCCCAGGCGGGTCTTGAACCCTCGGGCTCAGGCAATTCACTCACCTCAGCCCCCCAAGGCGCGGGATTACAGGCTGAGCCACCGAGCCGGCTAAACAATTTTTTATTACAAGCTTTGTCTATCTTTTTTCTTTTTTACAATTTTATTTGTGGGAGTTCTTTGTAAATCAGTGGTATTGATGAACTGTTAACTGTTTCACATATTTTATCCTACTCTATCATAGATTTCTTCATGTTATTATGATATGAAATTAAAGAATTTTTTAAAATCTAGAAAAAGAAATTAAGACTGGACTTGTTGACTCAGCCTGTAAAACCAGCACTTTGGGAGGGCAAGACGAGTGGATTGTCTGAGCCTATGGGTTCGAGACCAGCCAGAGCAACTTGGCCAGACCTTGTGTCTACAATAAATAAAAAATTAGCCTGGCGTGGTAGCACGTGCCTGTAGTTCCGGCTACTTGGAAGTCTGAAGTGGAAGGATCACTGGAGGCCAGCAGGTCGACACTGGGGTGGCTGTGAGCATGCCACTGCACTCCAGCCTGGGCGGCAGAGTGGGACTCCAACTCAAAAAAAAAAAAAGAAAAAGAAAGGAAAAGAAATTAAAAGTTGTTATTAGTTTGAAATGCAGATTAACATCAGGGTAAAATAATATTATGTCTGAGATTTATTTTAAAAAGTAGATACAGGCCAGATATGGTGGCTCAGGCCTGTAATCCCAGAATGTGAGTCCAGGAATTCAAAGTTACAATAAGCTATGATCATATCACTGTGCTCCAACCTGGGTGTCTCAAAAAAATAAAAATTAAATAAATAATAAAATAAACTGGAAAAGGGAAGGAAATTGAAACTAGATTGGCAAAATGTTGATTCTGAGTGGAGTAACTTGAGGGTTCATTATTAAAAGTGAAATCACTTTTGCCTATGTTTAAAATTTTCCATTATAGTTTTAAAAATCAGAACCAGTGCCTACACCACTTCATCTGTTATCCAATGCCCAGGGCACAGAAAGGGGCAGCCGTCTGCAGATCAAAAGTTACTGATGCGTGAGGCCAAAGCTCACGGTGTGCCACCGCCCAGCATTTAGGAGCTTGGATTCCTCAGCTCTCAGGACCAGCCCGTGGAAAGAGGCTTTCTGGGAGGAGGTGGGGGCAGGCAGTCCCGAACTAGAAGTTTCTGAGATTTCCTAGGGTTTTCCGAAAGAGGCCACGGGTGTAACTGACAAACTGACGTTTGATGACTTTAAGAGTAGCCTCTGCCCCGGCTCCTGACCCTTTGGAAGGGTAGTGAGGAGCAAGTCTGCCCCCTCCCGGCCCCTCCCGGCCCCTCCCGGCCCCTCCCGGCCCCTCCCGGCCCCTCCCGGCCCCTCCCGGCCCCTCCCGGCCCCTCCCGGCCCCTCCCGGCCCCTCCCGGCCCCTCCCGGCCCCTCCCGGCCCCTCCCCTCGCCCCGCCCCACGGCCTCGCTCGTTGTCCCTCCTCCTGGCCCGGTTCCTCACCCCTGCGCGCCGGCGGCAGTTACCATAGCTACGGGGCACACAGCAGCGAGGTCTCCCCAGCTGGTCCCCTGCGGGCCGGAGGAAAGAGGCGGCACCATGAGCCACGTCGTAACCATCGAGGAGCCCCAGGCCAAGCCGCAAATGTCTCCAACTCAGTCCAGGGAGAGGTCGAGGGCCGGGATTCGCTTCTCCTTCAGTCGAGCGTACGATTTCCTGTACGGTAAGGGCCGCCCCAGACTTCCCAGAGGAGGTCTCCTTGGCCAGGTGGACTTCCAAATGGTGGGACATGCGGGGGGCGTGGGGAAAAGAGAGTAGCCTTT